GATATATACACACATAACTGCACACAACTCCCCAATTCGGAAAAACACTCGTTTCACATGGAAAATACCCACGCTGAGGGGGTCCCCCTCTCTAGTTCTAATACCCTTTTAATTAGTGGTTTTAACAATAGTATTAGTTCCAATTCTTCTTTAATCACAGGACATAATAATACATTAGCATCACATTTAGCAGTATTAACAACACACTAACAACACACGACAGCGATATCGCAACAAATACAAATGGAATAGCAATATTAAATAACACTGTAGGTAGTAATATGACATTTGTTAATAGTCATCAAAACACAATAACATCGCATATATCATTACTTGACACAAACCTTAATACCATAACAGGACACGGAAACACAATGTCAACGATTTTAACAGATATAGCAGATTTACAAGCAGGAGCGGGTGCTTCTTGGACTGCAGCCGAAAAACAACTATTCAAGCAGATGTATCAACATTATATACAAATGATACTAATTTATTCAATACAAATACCGCATACAGTAATACATTTGCCTCAATCATATCAGACAACACGACACAAGATTTATTAATGACTCAAAATTCAAATACAATAAATAGTATATTAGCAACGGATTTACAAAAATTAGATAAACTAGATTTAAGCAATCAATCAGTATCGGGCCCGGTTACATTTCATGACTCTATTACAATGATTACAGGTAATACTTTATTTTGTAATAAATATAGAGCACCAAGTAATGGATCACATATGCAATTTGTAATGTTTAACAGAGAATTTAATATTAATCGAGACGGCCAAATGTGGATGAGTAGCTCTAATGGCCAATGGGAGACTATTCTAGGTTACCCTGGTGGTGTTGGTAGAGTTTGGTGTCCTGATAGATTTGGTTTAGGTGCCGCTGGTATTGCTGGATATAAACTCAATTGCGCTGGTCAAGCGAGATTCACTGATGCTGTACAATTTATAGGAACTGATAAAGCAATTAGTCTTAACAATGGTTCATATTTAAATTTTGCTAATACTGGTTCAATACGAAGATACACCAGATGCTACAGAAGGTTTATATATGGCGCATCATAATTTTGTTGCTGTTAGTGTTGGCGATGTTAGTAATTATTCTAATCAATGTTTTATGTGCGACGGCGATGTATCCAAAGCCATTTTCAATAAACCAGTTGATGTATTAGGTGATGTATATACAAATGGCGATTTAACAATGGTTTCTGGTAAGAAAGTTGAAGTCAACCAAGTTCAGTCTGTATCAGGAAATACTTTATTATTACAAAATCCACCAAGTGGCAACGTCCAATTGGGCAACACATCAAAACTAATAATTGATAATGCCGAAATGTATGTCGATACAAATGATTTAATAATCAGGAATAGCAACACTTCAAACTCTATTAATTTGGTTGTTGGATTATCTGCAACATATGCTGAGAATAAAATTATTTTGAATAGTGGAAGTAATAGCGAATTACGAGGCGACTGGACTATTGACGGTGATATGACTTTTGGAATTGCTCATAAAATATATTTGAGACATTTAAATAGCGATGCTGTTTTGAGAACGGAAGCATGAACATCCATTGATAGTTATATTAATGGCACTAAATATTTAGAGTTAAACAGTAGTCAGTTTGTTGCATATAACAGTTTTAATTTAAGCAGTGACGAAAGATTAAAAAGAGACATTCAAAATATCGAAGATGACACTATTTGAAATGGTGAAAAATATTGATGTCAAAACATTTATGAAGACAAACAATATGAAGAAACACGAGATAGGCTTCATCGCTCAACAAGTTAAAGCAAATACACCTGAAAAATACGGTGTTGTAAATGATGAGGGCGAATATTTAACAATGAGTTATGACAAAATGACTTGTACTAGCTGGGGCGCATTACAGTCCTTAATTAGAAGGGTTGAATATTTGGAAAACGAAGTCTTTAAAAATGAAAATAAACATAAAAATAAAAATATTTAGTTTAAAAATCTTGTAAAATGTATTTAAAGAAATATATAATATAATATAATATATAATATAATGAGTATTAAACCTGAAGATATGACATTAGAACAAATCAAGGAACAACTGGCACTATATAATAGATTGTATTATCAAAAGAGACGAGTAGAAAACGACGTTATACAAAATGAATTTATCTAATGGAATAGTTAATAATATTATTGATTATTCTTTGGACGAAGAAGATGTATGTAGAACTTGTCAGGAATGGAGAGATACTCAAGCTTTAATCAATTGTGCGTTGAGAATAAAAAGAAGAAGTAATAGAAATGTTGAAGATGACATGTTAATATTTCTTGCTGTTTACAATATCCCACCTTATGATTATGTTAGAGCATCTATGAAAATCAGTAAGAAAAGTATGAAATGATTAAACACATATTATGGATGTTGGAGTATCAAAGAAAAGAAAGAGAAGATGTTAAAGAAAATATCAAAATTATTGAAAGTGAAAAGTTTAATGTTAAAATTACAGTGAGAGATATTAATATTATTTTCAAAATGATGTATGAAAGAAGTACGATGTATCAATTAAGTTATTATCCTGAATTTAAATTATAGTCATACTATAATAATAACATGTAAAATGTTATATTTTATAATTATATTTCAATATTTAATTTTATTTCTTGTAAAAAAGTATTTAAAGAAATAAAAACTATATATATATTATTATATTGTGAAATGGTGGAAGCCGAAATCAATAATTATATCAATAAGACATGCTATGATTGTTGCCACTTCAAAAAGGAAAATATGGAATTATATAAATTTAATTTACCTAATGGACTAGCAAATAATATTATTGACTATGCTTTGAGTGAAGAAGATGTATGTAGAACTTGTAGAAGATGGAGACGATATCAAAATACAATAGAAAATTGTTTGGAGATTAAAAAATAGATGAAAGACATGTTGAAGATGAACTCTTGATATTTTTAATTGTGTATAAAATACAACCTTATGATTATGTTAAAGCATTTCTTAAAATCAGTAAGAAAAAGTATGAAATTATTGACTACATATTATGGGCAGTGATTTATCAAAGAAAAAAGGGTTTGATGTAAAAAAAATCATTAAATCATATATTGAAAGTGAAAAGTTTACTGTTAAAATATGGCGAGATATATTAATATTACTTTCAACATGATGTATCAAAGAGGTATGATATATCAATTAAATAGTTATCCTGAACTGAAATCATAATCATACTATAATAATAACATGTAAAAGATTATATGTTATAATTATATTTCCATATTGAATTTCATTTGTTGTAAAAAGTGTTTAAAGAATTACAAACTAAATATATTATAATAGAAATGGTTGAATTTACAGAGAAAGAGCAAGAAGAACTTATTAATAAATTCTTAGATATTGTTTTAGTAAATGACACTAAACAAGAACTCAAAAATAAATGTGATGCTTGTAAATGTAAAAACTACTTAAATCATAACAGATATAGAGACATTGGACACATACATTTTTCCAAATAATATATTGAATCATATTTGCAAATTTACATATAAATGTATTTTCTGTCAAAGAAGAGAAGAACCAATTCGTGAGATTGAATGTGTTCAAAATCATAGTGTCGAATTCTTGAACAATGCAAGTATATAAAACTGGTTGTTTGTTATACAAAGTAAATTTCCAGATAAAGGTAATTTCCCTAAAATGTCTAAACAAAGATATAATTTAATGAAACGTATTTATGGTTTTCATCTACAGTATTATAATGGACAATCAACAACAGAGTTAAACATCAAAGAATTATTTAGAAAGGCTGGCTTCAGTCCAGTCAAAAATTATCAAGAACTATATGCCATTATAATGAAACTTAAACACGGATACAAAATGAAATACAGCCCCGATTCTTTAATGTTTAAAACCATACTATAATAATAATAACATTTATACCCTTATATGTTATAATTATAATGTAAGTATGGCGTTTTATATATTGAAGATAAAATCCTACAAGGAGGACCACGCGCAACTTTGGGAATATCCAAATGTTGAAAATGATTAATTATTAAGTCTTCTCATTGAATTTTTGAAAATGTTGTTTCTTATTGAACAATTCTTCTTAAAATGCTATATATATATACTTATCTATTTTGTAAAAATATATATTTCTAAAATATTTTGGAAAGCATGTGTTTTTGAAAATAAACATGTTTAGGTGTATTGATTTTTTCAAAAAATAATCCAATTTTCGTTTTGGTATGCTGTACTAAAAAATATTTATCAAAATGTGTTTAGACTGTTTCAAAATATGTTTTAAAATGGCTGTTTTGGGGCGCTTATTGAAAAATGCAAAAAACCTAGGGTGGACCCTGGACCCTTGGGTTCGAAAAAAGTTGCGCATGGCCTAACCTAACTAACTTAAAACTTGGTCACGCCGCCATGGGCGCTGAGCATTTTCACTCTGGGACGCTGGGGCTAGCTGAGCCGACGAATTCAGGTCCAAAGGCTCGGATTGATGAATCTGCTTCGCGGCAAGATGGAACGCAAGCAGCCCCCCCCCCCCTTCCCCCCCCAACTAGAAGCCGCCTGCCAGACCACGCGAACATAACAACTTCAGGCGAAAGTAGGTGAACGCGAAGACCCCAACACTGTGAATTGCCGACGAAAAGGCGCCTTTGGTGCGCGCTCAAGCTCGTGTGAGCACCACAAGCGCCCCAACGCTATGAGTTGCGAACAAAGTACGCTTCTTGCAGCCGTGCCAATGGGGAATGTGAGCTGAAACGCATATGAACGCAAACGATCTCTGAGTTGCCGCAGGTCTTTTGCGGCCGTGCCAATGGGGAATGCGTGTTGAAGTTCATGCAAGCATGAACAGCCCAACGCTGTGAGTAGCAGCGTACCTCCCATGGGACCTCCGGGAAACCAAAGCCATTGATTGGTCGCTTCGGGTAAATCCTCGGCTTCGGGGCGCGCTTGGATTCATTTGCTCTGTCGGATAGGCTCCCAGCCGGCTTCGGCGGGCCGCGAGCTGTGAGCGGGCTCATGTGGGCCAGGAGGAGCATGAGCTGTGTGAGCAGGTGGGGATGCGCAATGTGCGCGGGCAACGCGCGTTCGGCTTCAGCTTGAGATGTTTTGGAGATGGATGGCTCATCTTTTGGACCTCACCCACGAATTCAAGCGCCAGCCACCGACCCGGACCGACCCTGGTGTGTTGCCCCGAATCGGCTTTGGGTTCTTCTCCGAGACTTGGGCCCAGAAACCCTCCCAGTTTGAGACAGACTCGGGCCGTGCGGCTTCGATGTGGGGAAAGTCGGACAAGCGGCGCCAGGTCGCCAGATTGGCCGATCGCGCCGCACTCCTCACGCCCCTCACACGCCTCGCACTCCCGCGCCCGGCGGCTGCGGCTCCGGCGCAAGCGCTGAGCCGAGGGCATCCGGAGCTTTGCCGCCGGCCCTGCGTGCACTTCGCGCGCCAGGGCTGCCCACAGGGAGCAGCTTGGCGAGATTTGGCGAGTCCCAAAGTCGGCGAGCGAGAGTTGCCTAAGGTGAACTTGCTGTCTTCAAGGCAACCACCTTGTTTTCCCATCGGAGGTGTGTGCTTGTGTCTTTTCGTTGCCAATTGCCGCGACTTTCAGGCAGACTGCGTGTACTGCCACCTGCCCCACCCCGAGCGCGCCGTGAGCTTGGACAAGCGCTCGCGGGAGCTGGTGGCCGCCTTGGCACCACGCAGCCTGCTGGCGCTGCTGCTGCCGCTCCTCCGCGCTCGGGTCGACGCCATGGCCGACGGGGGCAGCGCCGCGCTGAGGGCAAGGGCTTTCCTGCTGGCCTTGGAGCAGGCGCCCGTGGGGCAAAAAGACGGAGGGTGGGGGGAGATGAGAAGATTTTGTTCGCACCCGCGGGGAGTCTGAGCAGAATTCTGAAGGCATGGGAAGCTTTCGGAATTTGCAGGCTATCTGTTGTTGGTTACTCCCAAGCGAAAGCGCGCATCATTGCGCTCCCATCATGAGTTTGGTTTAGAGTATCAGCCCATTCTAGCTATTATTAACTTCCGGGAGGATTGTATTATTCAGAGGAGCCCTGCTAAATTGAATGTGTCCCAATGGCCAAACAGATGTGATCCGTCGGACTCATGCGAATTTAGTTTGACTTCGCGCCCGCCCCCGCCAGGGGCTATTTGATCTAGAGGCGTCCATTGATCTCCGTTCTTAGGGCCAAGGAAGTGGGGCTTGGGGCTTGGGCGAAGGGGGGGCTTTCCAGATTAGGCGGCAAACTTGCTGGTGCGATAAGTAGGGCTTGGTTCATGTTGGTCATTCCTTCATTCCCTAGCAAGCAAACACCCTGAGCTGAAAGAACCCAACCACAATGGAGGAAGCCGTGCAGCTCGGGCCGCCGACACCTCCCGAGTGTCAGAAGATTGTGAAGCGGCTGAAGCTGATGACCTTTGCGATGCTGATGGGCTTGATTGCCGCTCGGCAGCCTTCGGCTCTCTCTCGCATGCCTTTTTTTTGAGGGCGCCGTTTTGGGGACAATTCATGCATGGGGAGCTGAAGCAAAACAAGTCACCAAGCACAGGGCGAAAAACGGCAGACAGTACCTGTGTGTTTCCTAGTGGGAAAGAACAGTCGGACCCCAATGGTTGGTTTCCTTTGAGCCCTCGCGGGGAGCCAGCGCTCAGAAAGACACATATTTTTAGGGGTCTGACTTGACGAGCATGGCTTTTAAAGTACAACCCCAGTCTTCCAGGCCCCCAGATTAAACCTGGAACCCGAGACCTGTCAGAAGGCTGTGAAGTCGTGAGGTCCGGTGCCCTGCTCCCTCGGTGGCTCTTGTGGCTGAAGAGGCGCTGGAGGAGATGCGTCGGCTCTGAGTGAGGCTCAAACCCCGGAGAGGTGCAGATTCGTAGGGCCTTGAGCCGCGAAGCTTTGTCTTATTTGATATCAGAGGTGCATGTTGCTTGGATGTTAGGACTTTAACTTTTTGCCAACTATTGGGTTTTCCATTATACCACTAAAGGTTAAACTTTTAGGAGGGGAGCAGACATCAACCGAGATATGGTAAATAATTACCGGATGCATTCCCCCAGTTTCAGAAGTCGCCTCTCGTTTTTTTCTGATCCTGACCTGAATACACGGGGTCGCTAGACTGTGCGCCATACTCTAAAGGTGTGATGGTTTTCGCCTTAAGCTCCAACACCCTGGATCTTGATGGTTTGGTTAGGTTCTGGTTCTGATTGGTGGGGTTTGGACCCCAGGCTCCAGAGCAGGGAGGCCATCGGAACACCTCCGAAGCACTGAAGAATGTAGACATATGGTTTTAGTTGGGCCGAGACTCAGGCAGAACAGAGGACTTCCTCCGAAAAGGCTTAGCTTTGGGCAAGCTCACATCCACCCTGGCCTTGCACTTTGCTGAGCACACGCCTTACTCTCTTTGCGGGTTTGAGCTGAACCTCTGGCAATTTTCGTGAGAAGAGCGGGGAACTGTCGCCCCTGTGTAACTGGCTCAACCATTACAGCGTCTTAACATTGGTCTCGTCGGGTCCAAAAGCAAATGTCCCGGACATGCGTCGGATCGCTTTGTGGATCAATCTTGCCCTTGGGTTCAAGTAGGGGACCGAGGAAGGAACCTTTGCCCTTAGGTGCGTGCAGTAAACCGCTTCCGTGGCTGAAGAAGGGTCCATGCCCAGTGGATCCGACCCATCATTCAGATGGATTGGAGTCCCTTCGCAGCAACACCGCGGCAACCAGATTTGTCAAGGTGTCTATGAGACGCGCAATGTTGATCCGGATGCATAAACCTGCAGGATTTTTGGGGGGAGTCTGCCCCCCAGTCAACCAGCGGCTTAGTCCAGGGCCAACATTGACTTTTCGGATTGTTCAACCACTTCTGCAATGCCTTCTATTTGCTGCCATTGATCTAGAAACATGTGTCGTTGAGAAGGTGAATCGTTTCAACCAGCAGAGAAGTGGCTGCATTTGACAACGGTCCTTACATGTCCCTTTTTGGAGGATTCAAGCATTGCCTGTTTGGCAATCTTACGATTACTCTCCTTCTAGCGGTGTTGTTTCAAGGGGACATATAAGGAACCCGGTCATCCATTCCCACAATCCGTCTATTTCTTTACAACCGCGGCACCATCGTGGCGGCCAGATTTCAAGCAACGGTGTCAATGACGCGCGCAATGTTGATCCGGATGAATAAACCCGCAAGATTCGCAGCGGAGTCTGCTCCAATCAGCCCAATAATTTATTTGTCCGGGGCCAGCATTGAGTCACTTCTGTGTGATGCCTTCTATTTGCAGCCACCATATTGATCTAGAAACATGTGTCGTTGAGAAGGTGAAGCGTTTCAACAAGCAGAGAAGTGGCTGCATTTGACAACGGTCCTTACATGTCCCTTTTTGGAGGATTCAAGCATTGCCTGTTTGGCAATCTTACGATTACTCTCCTTCTAGCGGTGTTGTTTCAAGGGGACATATAAGGAACCCGGTCATCCATTCCCACAATCCGTCTATTTCTTTACAACCGCGGCACCATCGTGGCGGCCAGATTTCAAGCAACGGTGTCAATGACGCGCGCAATGTTGATCCGGATGAATAAACCTGCAAGATTCGCAGCAGAGTCTGCTCCAATCAGCCCAATAATTTATTTGTCCGGGGCCAGCATTGAGTCACTTCTGTGTGATGCCTTCTATTTGCAGCCACCATATTGATCTAGAAACATGTGTCGTTGAGAAGGTGAAGCGTTTCAACCAGCAGAGAAGTGGCTGCATTTGACAACGGTCCTTACATGTCCCTTTTTGGAGGATTCAAGCATTGCCTGTTTGGCAATCTTACGATTACTCTCCTTCTAGCGGTGTTGTTTCAAGGGGACATATAAGGAACCCGGTCATCCATTCCCACAATCCGTCTATTTCTTTACAACCGCGGCACCATCGTGGCGGCCAGATTTCAAGCAACGGTGTCAATGACACGCGCGATGTTGATCCGGATGAATAAACCCGCAAGACTCGCAGCGGAGTCTGCTCCAATCAGCCCAATAATTTATTTGTCCGGGGCCAGCATTGAGTCACTTCTGTGTGATGCCTTCTATTTGCAGCCACCATTGATCTAGAAACATGTGTCGTTGAGAAGGTGAAGCGTTTCAACCAGCACAGAAGTCGCTGCATGTGACAACGGTCCTTACATGTCCCTTTTTGGAGGATTCAAGCATTGCCTGTTTGGCCGTGTTACAATTACTCTCCTTTTAGTTGTGTTGTTTCAAGGGGACATATAAGGCACCCTGTCATCCATTCCCACAATCCGTCTATTTCTTTACAACCGCGGCAACAGCGTGGCGGCCAGATTTCAAGCAACGGTGTCAATGACACGCGCGATGTTGATCCGGATGAATAAACCCGCAAGATTCGCAGCGGAGTCTGCTCCAATCAGCCCAATAATTTATTTGTCCGGGGCCAGCATTGAGTTTCTGAGTGTCCAAGCACTTCTGCGACGCCTTCTATTTGTAGCCGCCATTGAAGCAGAGACATGTGCCATTGAGAAGCTGATTCGTTTCAATCAGCACACAAATGACAGAAGTGGGTGCACTTGGCAACGATCCTTTTTTGTAGGATTCCAGCATTACCTGTTCGGCAATGTCAAGACTACTCTCCTATTGTTGGGATGTTGTTTAAAGGGCCTTGGCATCCATTCTCACAATCCGTTTGTTTTTCTTACGCACAAATGCGTTTCACCCATGCTCTTTGTGCCGCTCGAGCTGCGTCTCGAGCAAAGAGAGAGATAACGAGAGTTGTGAGTCCTGTGGCCAGTTGCATTGGGACCAGCGTGACACGTGAGTCACCGACAATATGATTGGCAGTCTACATTTGGCTTGGGCCATTGCTCAGTTTTCAGCGAATCAGTGAGGGGTAGAACGCAGTTTTTCCCAGCAAGGCCACGGTCAAACTTCACTGTGTAAAGGTCTGAAAGGGAAGCCTGAACTAAGGAAATCCAATGCATGGGGGCCATGCCCAGTTGAGCTCTCCAGAATTTGACCGCGAGGGCAGGCATTGCAGTCTAGTGACTCTTAGCGACTGATACCGAACTCGGGGCATGAATCAAATGTCCCGTTGGCGAAGATGCTTGGAAGAAGCTGGGCTAAGGTCATCCGGTAATCCGCAAGATCCTTACAAAGAAATAACGCGAGGAAGTGGGTTTTTCTCCGGCTCGATAGGGATGATGAGAATTTCGGCTCCATTTTGAGCCCAAATCGCGGCTTTGGGAATGAACCGGTGAAAAAACCCCTCAGGCGAATTGGTTCCAATTCTCATTCCCTGTGTCCGAGACTGGCCGCGTATGTCACGTCTCTCAAAGAGCGCGGGTGTCCCAAGGGCCAAGGACTGGCAATTTGTCAAGGCCCCGGCCCCTCTTTTGGCGTGTGCCTTTTGGTTGAAGAAAGACGCGACTTGTTTTCTTCTCATTTTCTCATTTTGTGGAAGACACGCTTTTCTGAGTTCTTCTCATCTTGGTGGAAAACGTGTTTTTGTTCTTCTTTGTTCTCTACATTTTTCCGGGTTTGTAAAAGAGGGCTGGGTGTTTTGGGGGACCTGCTGCTCAGTTCAATCCGACCTTGTTGGACTTGCAAGGAATGGTGAGCACAGAATAGTTCCGTTTTAGCTTCCTGGCGCTATCGTCAGTTGAACAGTCTTCGGACCAGATAAATTCATGGCCCTGCATCGACGGGTGATTCTTCAAGTATTGCAAGCAGGGCGCAAGGAAAGCCCTGCCATCTTCCATGGCTTCCTGGTGTACTTTGGGTGTGTCCTCTTGAAGCTTTGTTTCAACGGGAAACCAAAAAGAGGCACCCATGTGTTCAGTTCCAGCCCATTTCGAGACGCCCGCCTTGCAATATTTAGGGGACCCCGTACGCAACTCCGAATGCCGCACCTAGAGCGGAGCGGCATCGAGCTTCAACGTCCGCCAATTTCGCCTTGGTTACTGCAATGGCTGAACAACCTCCTCATGTTGAAAGAGATCTGGAAACATGTTTTTGCTGATTTGTTTCTTTGTTCCCCACCTGTTGGATGGGGTTGTTCGATTTGCCGAACATCCGCCTGAAAGCCAGCAGCCAGATGACAGGTGTCAAGGCCAGTCAGACACAGATGACAGACAGAGCCAGGATACAGATGGAGCCAGGAGCCAGTCAGATCAGATGACACGTCCACACTTTTGGCTTTGGACATTGCAGCTCGGAAAAGCACCGAGCGCACTTCCCTGCAAGGCTGAGGCTGCAGCAGGGTGTGGAAGAGCTCTGCGACAGAGGACGGGCCTCGACTTGAGACACGCTGCCCAGCAAGGATGGGCTGAAACAAGACCGAAATGCCACGGATGTGAGATAGCCATGGCTCAGCTGCCCAAGCTGCACATCAAGGACCCTTCCCATCTTTTGCCGCAGCTGCGGGGAAGTCGTGCCTCACTTGAAGCGTAGCAATCGCTAACAGCATCGGCAACCTATCGGTGCGAAGCTTGCCAGCGGAAGCTTGCGACTTTCACCTGGCTCTGCAAACTTAAAGGGCCCCATCAGCGAGAGCTGCGGGAACTTCCAGCCCTGACATCCAAACAAGTGCGCTGCCGATGTGCTGCTTGGACCTTGATCTCTCCAACTCATTCATCTGAAATTGGAGAAGATGAGCATCCACATGCATCTTGCGCCTCGGGTTGACCCCCAAGTTGACATTGGTCCTTGCCCCCAAGGCACGAAGCGCCGGGACGCACACCACACACACAAACGCACACAAATACGCAGGCGGGTTTCAAAGGAACCACACCTGTCGGTCGACCGACCGTCCACCTCTCAGGACAGACTGCTTCAAGCCAACCAACAGCTAGGACGTCCACTTCAAATGGCGAGCTTGGCCCAATCCTACAGCGTCAACATCCTCCATTGCCACGCTGCAAATATCCCGCCTCAGCCCTTGGCCTGGATGCCGTGGAGGCATCTGATACGATTGTGTGACGAAGCTTGTTATTCCAGACAGCTCCAAGCATCGGCTCTTTGCCCCCTGGTGAGAACTTGTGAGTACTTGTAAGGAGCTCAAGATGAGGCAAGGCAATGCCCTCTGCAAATTCCGTTTCGAGGTTATAGCCGAAAACATGGATTTGGAGGCAGGAGGCTGCGGCGGAGGTAATGAGGAGGAAGTGGCAGCTACATTACTGGCGGTACGATGGTTGCCGTTCTGGAGAAGTGTGGCGCAAGCGCGCTAACGCAACATGTGAAGGCGGGGGGGGGTGTGCGACGCTGAGGCGGTCAAGTTTCTGGATGCAGAGTTATTCCCCCTTCTTCGCCACTCGGCACAGGTGCTTGGCTTTTGTCCTCGTTGAACGACTCGTGATTTTGTGGGAAACTGTGTGCAACTGCTTCTTGAGAGGTGAGCTTCTCCATCCTCGCCACATATCTTCTCTACAAAACTACGAGCACGGGTTAAAAAGTAATGCCAAGCAGGAAGACGCTAAGAGGATTGCAGCCACCTTGGCTTGAATGAAATTTGGTTTCTCAGATTTCTGATGGGAGAAAAGGATGGGAGATCAACTTGAAGAGTATTAGGCTCTTGCCTTTGGTCAAGAAGACATTCCAGACCAGTAACCAGAGTGCAAGCTTAGCTCGGGTAGCCGACGTTTCAATGCACTGCTATCATATACCCCTGGCGGCCCGTGGTCCATACGGAGCGTGTGGTCTTTTTTGGAACACTTTTTAGTTGGGCTTCCCCCTGTATTTTGAGACACACCCATATCCAGCTGGCGCCGCTTATGGTTTCACCGGCCCCCGGGGATACATGACCCTAGCCCTTCGTATCGGAGTCAGCTAGACGTCGCCGGGAAAATCGAAAGCTCGGAAATCGAGCCTGCCCCAATGTTAATGTTGAAGCTTGGTGAAAGCAACCGTTAGTACGGGGTTCCCTACATTTCCCCTTCGGTGGTAATACCGGCTTTTGGCCGGGTGGTGTTCCAGGGGGAAACACACTCCCTACCTGACAGTGTAAAATGCTTACACGCGACACTTCGCTGCTTGTGTTGTGTGTTCTGGCGAGCCGCAAGTTTAGCAGCGGTGTTAAACATTTTGAGGCAGGTTGCGCGGGCAAAGGTTTTTGGGCAGTCTGTCACTTCAAGGCTGAGCCTCTACCACGCCACTGTTCAAAGGCAGCGCATTCGGAGCTGACCCCGTTGAAATGTGGTGATTCCAAGTGCCCATTGCGCGTCGCGACGCAGCTGTTCCAGCCAACTTTCCTTTGCCCTCAGCATTGCCGTTCTATCTGCAACATGTCATCCGGTCAAAGTGTTTGCGTGTTATGACATTGTTTCGGCGCGCGCGCGCCTCAACAACTGCGTGAAAGGTCTGTTGCTCTGTGTTAGTGCGAAAACTCCATGTTGAAGCGTGGCGCAGGAGCTTCGTTTGCGCAGAGGGTCTGGGGCAGGCGTCGGCGTGAACACAGCGTAGTAAGACGTTCAAGCCTGCGCCAGCTTGCGCAGCACGCACTTTGAACTCCAAGATGCTGACAAGACTCTGCGACCTGCCAGGCAAACTCTGCTTGCACTTTCCCCAGCGCTTCAGGTGGCGCAAACACTATAAACTCCTCTGACAAGCTGCAAACTATTTCCCTCTCCCGAAACCAACGCAACCAAGCTTTATTTCTATGTTCAGGCCGGTGTTATCGGCGCGGTGCCTCCTACAAACTACTCAACGCATCAGCCGGAGCATGATTGCGACCCACATGCACGTGGCTAATACCAGGGAGGCTGCAGTGGACACATGTGGCGTGCCGTTCGACATCTGTATATGGGCATGCTGCTTGCATTTGGTGCGCTCTCCCCAATGCTTGGAAGGCTGCTGTCTTGGTTTCGTTGCTAGTAGAGCGAGTTGGGAACCTCCCTTGGCTGCACGACAACTTCTCTGCTCGCCGAGCTTCGCAAACAACTCCAGGCGCGGCAAAGATGTTTGAACAGTGTTTTTGAAGCATCTCCATGATTCTGTTGGCGGCCGGGTTTGCCATTTTGAGAGTTGAACCACTCAATATGCATCGCCCAAGTTGGTCAAACCGACCTCCTTGGGCATTTCTTTTGGCTCCGCACTCAGAAGCCTGGGGATAGGAATAGCCCGCGTCTCACATCATGCCGCTGCGGTATTACTTGACCTTTATCGATGATGAAGAACTGCCAGAGGCGGGGATTCTCTATTGGTGGTTGATCGTTTTTGGAGAGATGGAAGCCAAACCTTGTCATCAAGAATGGATATGGAATAGAGGGTATGGCTATCATGGCATTACTTCAGATCGATTGCGGAAACACACATCCCGAAAAGCTGGAACGTGATGAAGCCGGAAACCAGTGGTCTCGAGCCACCGAAGATGGATGGGTTGCATCTTCTGAAACAAACCCATATTTGGTTGTGTTCAGTGACACTAAAGCAAGGTCACGCCGCCATTCGCGGCGCTGAGCACTTTGACTATGGGTGGGACTACGCTGGGGCTAGATGAAACGAGTAAGTACAGGTTCAAAGGTCTGCTTCGCTTGTCTTTCGCTAGATGGAACGCGAGTTGGCAAGTTCATGTGATTTCATGTGAAGAGCATCCCACCCCAGGCTTTCCCCCTCCCCGCCTACTAGAAGCCACCCGCAAGGTGAACGCAAATGGGAAGCGCGCTAAACAGTCATGTGAGCGCAGAACTCTGAGTTGCTGAAGAACATTGATTTTTGCGGCCGTGCCAATGGGACATGCACGTTGGTTCATGCAAGTGCCAACGTGCTGAAGATGTCTTGGTAATGCGGCGCCAGGGGCCCATGCCTTGTTCCCACCTTGCCTGCTCGAAGAGCGTGTGCCATTGTTGCTGCGTTGGCTTCCCCACCCCAGAGCCCCACAAAAAACCTGTCAAAAGTTGGTGATGGCATGCTGGAAAAACCCGGTTGCTCCTGATCGCAGTAGGATGCTGGGAAGTTGGCAAGGATGTAGGGATGTTGGCTGGGCTGCTTTTTGCGGTGTTTTGTGGGGCAACGGTTGGTGATTGGTGAGGAGGAGCGATGCAGGAGGCGGGATGCAGGCAAAAGGCAAAAGGGGAAGAGCGATGCAGGGGATGCTGAGGAGGAGCTTCCGGAGCAACGAAACATGTCAGCGGTTTGCCCTACAGGTAGGGTTGCCCGGTGTGTCGCACATCTTCCAAGTATACGTTTCCCATAGATGATAAGCCTCCCTCCCACAAGCATGGAACCTCCGGGAACTGAAAGGCTTGTTTGTTTGATGACCCGTCTGTTGGGTCCCAGGCTCCCAGCACGCTTCTGCGGGCCTCGAGCTGTGAGCCGGCTCGTGTGGTGGACAGGGAATCTGAGGAGGAGGAGGAGCAGGAGCTGTCTGAGCAGGTGGGGTGGGGATGGATGGCTCATCTTTTGGACCACCCAGCCCCACGAAAGAAGCATCGGGCCCCAAGTCGGATTTGGGTTCGGCAGGAACCCTAGCCTTTGTGAGCACGTCCAAGTCCCAGCTAATTTAAGACGCCCACACTTCCTTGGAGTTTTCAACGATTCGGAGACCAAGTCGGCCTGCCAGGTAGCCAGGCTGGCTGATCGCGCTGCCCTCCTCACATCCTCACGCCTGACGAGCCCGGCTTCGGCTGCGGCAGCTCCGATCGTCCCGAGTCCGGCGCCAGGTCCGGCGCCGAGTGCGGCGACGGTGGGCATCGCCATGTCCCCAGGCAGCTTGCCAGGCAGCCGAGGGCATCCGGAGCTTTGCCGCCGGCCCTGCTTGCACTTCTTCTCGCGCCAGGGGTGCCAGCGCGAAGCAGCTTGGCGAGTCCCAAAGTCGGCAAGCGAGAGTTGCCTAAGGTGAACTTGCTTTCTTCAAGGCAACCACCTTGTTTTCCCATCGGAGGTGTGTGTTTGTCTCTTTTCTTTCCCAATTGCCGCGATTTTCAGGCAGACTGCGTGTACTGTCACCTGCCCCACCCTCAGCGCGCCGTGAGCTTGGACAAGCGCTCGCGGGAGCTGGTGGCCGCCTTGGCACCACGCAGCCTGCTGGCGCTTCTGCTGCCGCTCCTCCGCGCTCGTGTTGAAGCCATGGCCGACGGGCGCGGCAGCGCCGCGCTTTGCCAGAGGGCAAGGGCTTTCGTGTTGGCCTTGGAGCAGGCGCCCGGCCTGGGGCAAAAAGACGGAGGGTGGGGGGAGATTTGGAGAAGATTTTGTTCGCACCCGCGGGGAGTCTGAGCAGAATTCTGAAGGCATGGGAAGTTTTCGGAATTTGCAGGCTATCTGTTGTTGGTTACTCCCAAGCGAAAGCGCGCATCATTGCGCTCCCATCATGAGTTTGGTTTAGAGTATCAGCCCATTCTAGCTATTATTAACTTCCGGGAGGATTGTATTATTCAGAGGAGCCCTGCTAAATTGAATGTGTCCCAATGGCCAAACAGATGTGATCCGTCGGACTCATGCGAATTTAGTTTGACTTCGCGCCCGCCTCCGCCAGGGGCTATTTGATCTAGAGGCGTCCATTGATCTCCGTTCTTAGGGCCAAGGAAGTGGGGCTTGGGGCTTGGGCGAAGGGGGGGCTTTCCAGATTAGGCGGCAAACTTGCTGGTGCGATAAGTAGGGCTTGGTTCATGTTGGTCATTCCTTCATTCCCTAGCAAGCAAACACCCTGAGCTGAAAGAACCCAACCACAATGGAGGAAGCCGTGCAGCTCGGGCCGCCGACACCTCCCGAGTGTCAGAAGATTGTGAAGCGGCTGAAGCTGATGACCTTTGCGATGCTGATGGGCTTGATTGCCGCTCGGCAGCCTTCGGCTCTCTCTCGCATGCCTTTTTTTTGAGGGCGCCGTTTTGGGGACAATTCATGCATGGGGAGCTGAAGCAAAACAAGTCACCAAGCACAGGGCGAAAAACGGCAGACAGTACCTGTGTGTTTCCTAGTGGGAAAGAACAGTCGGACCCCAATGGTTGGTTTCCTTTGAGCCCTCGCGGGGAGCCAGCGCTCAGAAAGACACATATTTTTAGGGGTCTGACTTGACGAGCATGGCTTTTAAAGTACAACCCCAGTCTTCCAGGCCCCCAGATTAAACCTGGAACCCGAGACCTGTCAGAAGGCTGTGAAGTCGTGAGGTCCGGTGCCCTGCTCCCTCGGTGGCTCTTGTGGCTGAAGAGGCGCTGGAGGAGATGCGTCGGCTCTGAGTGAGGCTCAAACCCCGGAGAGGTGCAGATTCGTAGGGCCTTGAGCCGCGAAGCTTTGTCTTATTTGATATCAGAGGTGCATGTTGCTTGGATGTTAGGACTTTAACTTTTTGCCAACTATTGGGTTTTCCATTATACCACTAAAGGTTAAACTTTTAGGAGGGGAGCAGACATCAACCGAGATATGGTAAATAATTACCGGATGCATTCCCCCAGTTTCAGAAGTCGCCTCTCGTTTTTTTCTGATCCTGACCTGAATACACGGGGTCGCTAGACTGTGCGCCATACTCTAAAGGTGTGATGGTTTTCGCCTTAAGCTCCAACACCCTGGATCTTGATGGTTTGGTTAGGTTCTGGTTCTGATTGGTGGGGTTTGGACCCCAGGCTCCAGAGCAGGGAGGCCATCGGAACACCTCCGAAGCACTGAAGAATGTAGACATATGGTTTTAGTTGGGCCGAGACTCAGGCAGAACAGAGGACTTCCTCCGAAAAGGCTTAGCTTTGGGCAAGCTCACATCCACCCTGGCCTTGCACTTTGCTGAGCACACGCCTTACTCTCTTTGCGGGTTTGAGCTGAACCTCTGGCAATTTTCGTGAGAAGAGCGGGGAACTGTCGCCCCTGTGTAACTGGCTCAACCATTACAGCGTCTTAACATTGGTCTCGTCGGGTCCAAAAGCAAATGTCCCGGACATGCGTCGGATCGCTTTGTGGATCAATCTTGCCCTTGGGTTCAAGTAGGGGACCGAGGAAGGAACCTTTGCCCTTAGGTGCGTGCAGTAAACCGCTTCCGTGGCTGAAGAAGGGTCCATGCCCAGTGGATCCGACCCATCATTCAGATGGATTGGAGTCCCTTCGCAGCAACACCGCGGCAACCAGATTTGTCAAGGTGTCTATGAGACGCGCAATGTTGATCCGGATGCATAAACCTGCAGGATTTTTGGGGGGAGTCTGCCCCCCAGTCAACCAGCGGCTTAGTCCAGGGCCAACATTGACTTTTCGGATTGTTCAACCACTTCTGCAATGCCTTCTATTTGCTGCCATTGATCTAGAAACATGTGTCGTTGAGAAGGTGAATCGTTTCAACCAGCAGAGAAGTGGCTGCATTTGACAACGGTCCTTACATGTCCCTTTTTGGAGGATTCAAGCATTGCCTGTTTGGCAATCTTACGATTACTCTCCTTCTAGCGGTGTTGTTTCAAGGGGACATATAAGGAACCCGGTCATCCATTCCCACAATCCGTCTATTTCTTTACAACCGCGGCAACAGCGTGGCGGCCAGATTTCAAGCAACGGTGTCAATGACGCGCGCAATGTTGATCCGGATGAATAAACCCGCAAGATTCGCAGCGGAGTCTGCTCCAATCAGCCCAATAATTTATTTGTCCGGGGCCAGCATTGAGTCACTTCTGTGTGATGCCTTCTATTTGCAGCCACCATATTGATCTAGAAACATGTGTCGTTGAGAAGGTGAAGCGTTTCAACAAGCAGAGAAGTGGCTGCATTTGACAACGGTCCTTACATGTCCCTTTTTGGAGGATTCAAGCATTGCCTGTTTGGCAATCTTACGATTACTCTCCTTCTAGCGGTGTTGTTTCAAGGGGACATATAAGGAACCCGGTCATCCATTCCCACAATCCGTCTATTTCTTTACAACCGCGGCACCATCGTGGCGGCCAGATTTCAAGCAACGGTGTCAATGACGCGCGCAATGTTGATCCGGATGAATAAACCTGCAAGATTCGCAGCAGAGTCTGCTCCAATCAGCCCAATAATTTATTTGTCCGGGGCCAGCATTGAGTCACTTCTGTGTGATGCCTTCTATTTGCAGCCACCATATTGATCTAGAAACATGTGTCGTTGAGAAGGTGAAGCGTTTCAACCAGCAGAGAAGTGGCTGCATTTGACAACGGTCCTTACATGTCCCTTTTTGGAGGATTCAAGCATTGCCTGTTTGGCAATCTTACGATTACTCTCCTTCTAGCGGTGTTGTTTCAAGGGGACATATAAGGAACCCGGTCATCCATTCCCACAATCCGTCTATTTCTTTACAACCGCGGCACCATCGTGGCGGCCAGATTTCAAGCAACGGTGTCAATGACACGCGCGATGTTGATCCGGATGAATAAACCCGCAAGACTCGCAGCGGAGTCTGCTCCAATCAGCCCAATAATTTATTTGTCCGGGGCCAGCATTGAGTCACTTCTGTGTGATGCCTTCTATTTGCAGCCACCATTGATCTAGAAACATGTGTCGTTGAGAAGGTGAAGCGTTTCAACCAGCACAGAAGTCGCTGCATGTGACAACGGTCCTTACATGTCCCTTTTTGGAGGATTCAAGCATTGCCTGTTTGGCCGTGTTACAATTACTCTCCTTTTAGTTGTGTTGTTTCAAGGGGACATATAAGGCACCCTGTCATCCATTCCCACAATCCGTCTATTTCTTTACAACCGCGGCAACAGCGTGGCGGCCAGATTTCAAGCAACGGTGTCAATGACACGCGCGATGTTGATCCGGATGAATAAACCCGCAAGATTCGCAGCGGAGTCTGCTCCAATCAGCCCAATAATTTATTTGTCCGGGGCCAGCATTGAGTTTCTGAGTGTCCAAGCACTTCTGCGACGCCTTCTATTTGTAGCCGCCATTGAAGCAGAGACATGTGCCATTGAGAAGCTGATTCGCTTCAACCAGCACACAAATGACAGAAGTGGGTGCACTTGGCAAAAATCCTTTTTTGTAGGATTCCAGCATTACCTGTTCGGCAATGTCAAGACTACTCTCCTATTGTTGGGATGTTGTTTAAAGGGCCTTGGCATCCATTCTCACAATCCGTTTGTTTTTCTTACGCACAAATGCGTTTCACCCATGCTCTTTGTGCCGCTCGAGCTGCGTCTCGAGCAAAGAGAGAGATAACGAGAGTTGTGAGTCCTGTGGCCAGTTGCATTGGGACCAGCGTGACACGTGAGTCACCGACAATATGATTGGCAGTCTACATTTGGCTTGGGCCATTGCTCAGTTTTCAGCGAAATCAGTGAGGGGTAGAACGCAGTTTTTCCCAGCAAGGCCACGGTCAAACTTCACTGTGTAAAGGTCTGAAAGGGAAGCCTGAACTAAGGAAATCCAATGCATGGGGGCCATGCCCAGTTGAGCTCTCCAGAATTTGACCGCGAGGGCAGGCATTGCAGTCTAGTGACTCTTAGCGACTGATACCGAACTCGGGGCATGAATCAATGAATGTCCCGTTGGCGAAGATGCTTGGAAGAAGCTGGGCTAATCCGGTAATCCGCAAGATCCTAAGGGATTACGCGAGGAGGTGGGTTTTTCTCCGGCTTCTCGATAGGGATGATGGAAAATCGGCTATCAATCGCGGCTTTGGGAATGAACCGGGATCCCCTCAGGCGAATTGGTTCCAATTCTCATTCCCTGTGTCCGAGACTGGCCGCGTATGTCACGTCTCTCAAAGAGCGCGGTCCCAAGGGCCAAGGACTGGCAATTTGTCAAGGCCCCGGCCCCTCTTTTTTTGGCGTGTGCCTTTTGGTTGAAAGACGCGACTTGTTTTCTTCTCATTTTCTCATTTTGTGGAAGACACGCTTTTCTGAGTTCTTCTCATCTTGGTGGAAAACGTGTTTTTGTTCTTCTTTGTTCTCTACATTTTTCCGGGTTTGTAAAAGAGGGCTGGGTGTTTTGGGGGACCTGCTGCTCAGTTCAATCCGACCTTTTTGGACTTGCAAGGAATGGTGAGCACAGAATAGTTCCGTTTTAGCTTCCTGGCGCTATCGTCAGTTGAACAGTCTTCGGACCAGATAAATTCATGGCCCTGCATCGACGGGTGATTCTTCAAGTATTGCAAGCAGGGCGCAAGGAAAGCCCTGCCATCTTCCATGGCTTCCTGGTGTACTTTGGGTGTGTCCTCTTGAAGCTTTGTTTCAACGGGAAACCAAAAAGAGGCACCCATGTGTTCAGTTCCAGCCCATTTCGAGACGCCCGCCTTGCAATATTTAGGGGACCCCGTACGCAACTCCGAATGCCGCACCTAGAGCGGAGCGGCATCGAGCTTCAACGTCCGCCAATTTCGCCTTGGTTACTGCAATGGCTGAACAACCTCCTCATGTTGAAAGAGATCTGGAAACATGTTTTTGCTGATTTGTTTCTTTGTTCCCCACCTGTTGGATGGGGTTGTTCGATTTGCCGAACATCCGCCTGAAAGCCAGCAGCCAGATGACAGGTGTCAAGGCCAGTCAGACACAGATGACAGACAGAGCCAGGATACAGATGGAGCCAGGAGCCAGTCAGATCAGATGACACGTCCACACTTTTGGCTTTGGACATTGCAGCTCGGAAAAGCACCGAGCGCACTTCCCTGCAAGGCTGAGGCTGCAGCAGGGTGTGGAAGAGCTCTGCGACAGAGGACGGGCCTCGACTTGAGACACGCTGCCCAGCAAGGATGGGCTGAAACAAGACCGAAATGCCACGGATGTGAGATAGCCATGGCTCAGCTGCCCAAGCTGCACATCAAGGACCCTTCCCATCTTTTGCCGCAGCTGCGGGGAAGCCGTGCCTCACTTGAAGCGTAGCAATCGCTAACAGCATCGGCAACCTATCGGTGCGAAGCTTGCCAGCGGAAGCTTGCGACTTTCACCTGGCTCTGCAAACTTAAAGGGCCCCATCAGCGAGAGCTGCGGGAACTTCCAGCCCTGACATCCAAACAAGTGCGCTGCCGATGTGCTGCTTGGACCTTGATCTCTCCAACTCATTCATCTGAAATTGGAGAAGATGAGCATCCACATGCATCTTGCGCCTCGGGTTGACCCCCAAGTTGACATTGGTCCTTGCCCCCAAGGCACGAAGCGCCGGGACGCACACCACACACACACACAAACGCACACAAATACGCAGGCGGGTTTCAAAGGAACCACACCTGTCGGTCGACCGACCGTCCACCTCTCAGGACAGACTGCTTCAAGCCAACCAACAGCTAGGACGTCCACTTCAAATGGCGAGCTTGGCCCAATCCTGCAGCGTCAACATCCTCCATTGCCACGCTGCAAATATCCCGCCTCAGCCCTTGGCCTGGATGCCGTGGAGGCATCTGATACGATTGTGTGACGAAGCTTGTTATTCCAGACAGCTCCAAGCATCGGCTCTTTGCCCCCTGGTGAGAACTTGTGCGTACTTGTAAGGAGCTCAAGATGAGGCAAGGCAATGCCCTCTGCAAATTCCGTTTCGAGGTTATAGCCGAAAACATGGATTTGGAGGCAGGAGGCTGCGGCGGAGGTAATGAGGAGGAAGTGGCAGCTACATTACTGGCGGTACGATGGTTGCCGTTCTGGAGAAGTGTGGCGCAAGCGCGCTAACGCAACATGTGAAGGCGGGGGGGGTGTGCGACGCTGAGGCGGTCAAGTTTCTGGATGCAGAGTTATTCCCCCTTCTTCGCCACTCGGCACAGGTGCTTGGCTTTTGTCCTCGTTGAACGACTCGTGATTTTGTGGGAAACTGTGTGCAACTGCTTCTTGAGAGGTGAGCTTCTCCATCCTCGCCACATATCTTCTCTACAAAACTACGAGCACGGGTTAAAAAGTAATGCCAAGCAGGAAGACGCTAAGAGGATTGCAGCCACCTTGGCTTGAATGAAATTTGGTTTCTCAGATTTCTGATGGGAGAAAAGGATGGGAGATCAACTTGAAGAGTATTAGGCTCTTGCCTTTGGTCAAGAAGACATTCCAGACCAGTAACCAGAGTGCAAGCTTAGCTCGGGTAGCCGACGTTTCAAACCACTGCTATCATATACCCCTGGCGGCCCGTGGTCCATACGGAGCGTGTGGTCTTTTTTGGAACACTTTTTAGTTGGGCTTCCCCCTGTATTTTGAGACACACCCATATCCAGCTGGCGCCGCTTATGGTTTCACCGGCCCCCGGGGATACATGACCCTAGCCCTTCGTATCGGAGTCAGCTAGACGTCGCCGGGAAAATCGAAAGCTCGGAAATCGAGCCTGCCCCAATGTTAATGTTGAAGCTTGGTGAAAGCAACCGTTAGTACGGGGTTCCCTACATTTCCCCTTCGGTGGTAATACCGGCTTTTGGCCGGGTGGTGTTCCAGGGGGAAACACACTCCCTACCTGACAGTGTAAAATGCTTACACGCGACACTTCGCTGCTTGTGTTGTGTGTTCTGGCGAGCCGCAAGTTTAGCAGCGGTGTTAAACATTTTGAGGCAGGTTGCGCGGGCAAAGGTTTTTGGGCAGTCTGTCACTTCAAGGCTGAGCCTCTACCACGCCACTGTTCAAAGGCAGCGCATTCGGAGCTGACCCCGTTGAAATGTGGTGATTCCAAGTGCCCATTGCGCGTCGCGACGCAGCTGTTCCAGCCAACTTTCCTTTGCCCTCAGCATTGCCGTTCTATCTGCAACATGTCATCCGGTCAAAGTGTTTGCGTGTTATGACATTGTTTCGGCGCGCGCGCGCCTCAACAACTGCGTGAAAGGTCTGTTGCTCTGTGTTAGTGCGAAAACTCCATGTTGAAGCGTGGCGCAGGAGCTTCGTTTGCGCAGAGGGTCTGGGGCAGGCGTCGGCGTGAACACAGCGTAGTAAGACGTTCAAGCCTGCGCCAGCTTGCGCAGCACGCACTTTGAACTCCAAGATGCTGACAAGACTCTGCGACCTGCCAGGCAAACTCTGCTTGCACTTTCCCCAGCGCTTCAGGTGGCGCAAACACTATAAACTCCTCTGACAAGCTGCAAACTATTTCCCTCTCCCGAAACCAACGCAACCAAGCTTTATTTCTATGTTCAGGCCGGTGTTATCGGCGCGGTGCCTCCTACAAACTACTCAACGCATCAGCCGGAGCATGATTGCGACCCACATGCACGTGGCTAATACCAGGGAGGCTGCAGTGGACACATGTGGCGTGCCGTTCGACATCTGTATATGGGCATGCTGCTTGCATTTGGTGCGCTCTTGCTCGTACTCCCCAATGCTTGGAAGGCTGCTGTCTTGGTTTCGTTGCTAGTAGAGCGAGTTGGGAACCTCCCTTGGCTGCACGACAACTTCTCTGCTCGCCGAGCTTCGCAAACAACTCCAGGCGCGGCAAAGATGTTTGAACAGTGTTTTTGAAGCATCTCCATGATTCTGTTGGCGGCCGGGTTTGCCATTTTGAGAGTTGAACCACTCAATATGCATCGCCCAAGTTGGTCAAACCGACCTCCTTGGGCATTTCTTTTGGCTCCGCACTCAGAAGCCTGGGGATAGGAATAGCCCGCGTCTCACATCATGCCGCTGCGGTATTACTTGACCTTTATCGATGATGAAGAACTGCCAGAGGCGGGGATTCTCTATTGGTGGTTGATCGTTTTTGGAGAGATGGAAGCCAAACCTTGTCATCAAGAATGGATATGGAATAGAGGGTATGGCTATCATGGCATTACTTCAGATCGATTGCGGAAACACACATCCCGAAAAGCTGGAACGTGATGAAGCCGGAAACCAGTGGTCTCGAGCCACCGAAGATGGATGGGTTGCATCTTCTGAAACAAACCCATATTTGGTTGTGTTCAGTGACACTAAAGCAAGGTCACGCCGCCATTCGCGGCGCTGAGCACTTTGACTATGGGTGGGACTACGCTGGGGCTAGATGAAACGAGTAAGTACAGGTTCAAAGGTCTGCTTCGCTTGTCTTTCGCTAGATGGAACGCGAGTTGGCAAGTTCATGTGATTTCATGTGAAGAGCATCCCACCCCAGGCTTTCCCCCTCCCCGCCTACTAGAAGCCACCCGCAAGGTGAACGCAAATGGGAAGCGCGCTAAACAGTCATGTGAGCGCAGAACTCTGAGTTGCTGAAGAACATTGATTTTTGCGGCCGTGCCAATGGGACATGCACGTTGGTTCATGCAAGTGCCAACGTGCTGAAGATGTCTTGGTAATGCGGCGCCAGGGGCCCATGCCTTGTTCCCACCTTGCCTGCTCGAAGAGCGTGTGCCATTGTTGCTGCGTTGGCTTCCCCACCCCAGAGCCCCACAAAAAACCTGTCAAAAGTTGGTGATGGCATGCTGGAAAAACCCGGTTGCTCCTGATCGCAGTAGGATGCTGGGAAGTTGGCAAGGATGTAGGGATGTTGGCTGGGCTGCTTTTTGCGGTGTTTTGTGGGGCAACGGTTGGTGATTGGTGAGGAGGAGCGATGCAGGAGGAGGCGGGATGCAGGCAAAAGGCAAAAGGGGAAGAGCGATGCAGGGGATGCTGAGGAGGAGCTTCCGGAGCAACGAAACATGTCAGCGGTTTGCCCTACAGGTAGGGTTGCCCGGTGTGTCGCACATCTTCCAAGTATACGTTTCCCATAGATGATAAGCCTCCCTCCCACAAGCATGGAACCTCCGGGAACTGAAAGGCTTGTTTGTTTGATGACCCGTCTGTTGGGTCCCAGGCTCCCAGCACGCTTCTGCGGGCCTCGAGCTGTGAGCCGGCTCGTGTGGTGGACAGGGAATCTGAGGAGGAGGAGGAGCAGGAGCTGTCTGAGCAGGTGGGGTGGGGATGGATGGCTCATCTTTTGGACCACCCAGCCCCACGAAAGAAGCATCGGCCCCCAAGTCGGATTTGGGTTCGGCAGGAACCCTAGCCTTTGTGAGCACGTCCAAGTCCCAGCTAATTTAAGACGCCCACACTTCCTTGGAGTTTTCAACGATTCGGAGACCAAGTCGGCCTGCCAGGTAGCCAGGCTGGCTGATCGCGCTGCCCTCCTCACATCCTCACGCCTGACGAGCCCGGCTTCGGCTGCGGCAGCTCCGATCGTCCCGAGTCCGGCGCCAGGTCCGGCGCCGAGTGCGGCGACGGTGGGCATCGCCATGTCCCCAGGCAGCTTGCCAGGCAGCCGAGGGCATCCGGAGCTTTGCCGCCGGCCCTGCTTGCACTTCTTCTCGCGCCAGGGGTGCCAGCGCGAAGCAGCTTGGCGAGTCCCAAAGTCGGCAAGCGAGAGTTGCCTAAGGTGAACTTGCTTTCTTCAAGGCAACCACCTTGTTTTCCCATCGGAGGTGTGTGTTTGTCTCTTTTCTTTCCCAATTGCCGCGATTTTCAGGCAGACTGCGTGTACTGTCACCTGCCCCACCCTCAGCGCGCCGTGAGCTTGGACAAGCGCTCGCGGGAGCTGGTGGCCGCCTTGGCACCACGCAGCCTGCTGGCGCTTCTGCTGCCGCTCCTCCGCGCTCGTGTTGAAGCCATGGCCGACGGGCGCGGCAGCGCCGCGCTTTGCCAGAGGGCAAGGGCTTTCGTGTTGGCCTTGGAGCAGGCGCCCGGGCAAGACGGATGCGATTGGGCAGATTTGGAGAAGATTCTCAGAGGGATCGCCGTTGAAAGTAGCTTCATTGCGCTTCCATCATAAATGTTTGGCGGATCAGTTGGAGGATCAGAGGAGCGCTACAATGAATGAATTTGTCACCACTGGAAGGGCGCCCCCTTTTTTGGCACCTTGGCTGCTACTTGGTTGGGTCTTCAATCTTTTCTGCTGTGAATGTTACCAAGTTGGAAAAACGCCTTGTCTGCGGAGGGCAATGGAACCACGAAGAGATATGATCCGGATTCATCCGCATCACCTATGCAGATTGAGATCTCGGAACTGGGCTCGCTGCATGAACTGTAAGAGTTGGAACCACCAGCGAAAAGATCCTCACCGAAGTCATGCTGTTCACCAAAGGATTCCTAATATTCATAGTCAGATGTGTGAAGATCAACAAACTGCCGCTGGACACATGAACGCGCCAGTTTGCCCGTCCGGCAGTTTTTGCCCGTAGGGCAAGGGGCCGGGGCTAGCTTTCCAAGGGTGCCATCCGGGCGCTAGGTTCGGCAGGCTTGCGTTGCCAGAGCTGTAGAAAGACTTTCGGGGCTTTGTGCACAAACCCATGTCAGCTGGGAGGGTATTCGCCCGCGCAACACACAAGAAACTTGTGTTCACGCCCTTATGCCGACCAGTCTGGCGGCAATGTTGCAACTGGTTGCTCTTTCCTCCATCCGGACGTTTGGATCTTCGAATGCGCAGGCCACAGGAGCAAACAGTGTTAGCTTCAATGCCTGTTTTGTTGGCCATTTCATTTTAGGCCATTTCATTCGAAAGGAGGGTTTCCAGATTGGGGTCGGTTAAGCTTTGAGCTGAAACAAACGAAACAAAGAGCAGCGATGGAGGAAGCCGTGCAACTCGGGCCGCCGCCTGTGCCTTTGGCCGAGAGTCAGCTTAAGATTATGAAGTTGCTGAAGCTGATGACCTTGGCGATGCTGATGGGCTTGATTGTCACTCAGCCTGAAGCCTCGACGCCCCACATCTTTGCAGGGTGGTCTTTTTTGTTGTTGTTTTCTTCGGACATCTTTCTGCCGGGATCTTTTCCGCTTAGCGCTGCCTCCCACGCATTTCGCGCAGGACAGCCCGACCTTTTGAAATTGTCCTGCTTTGCACAGCATTGCAACGCACAGGTACTTGGAATTGCTCTTATCTTTTTCTGGACGCGTTTGCCATTGTTCAGCTACATTGCTACATGTCTGGAGGCCCCACAGATCTTCCAAAGAAAAAAACATCTCCCTATGTGGAAGCCAGGTCTTGCAGGTCCAGGCCCCTTCGAAAATTGGCTTTTCGGGCTCAGGCGCGGTGCCCTGCTCCCTCGGTGGCCCTTCTGGCCAAAGAGGCGCTGGAAGACCTACGCCGGCTCTGAAGGCGAAGAGGCCACGAGCAGCCAAATGGATGGGGGCCATATACCAGGGTGGCTGCCCCACTAAAAATGGTCTGCCCCAAGAAAGGGTTCCTTTTTTTCCAGGGTCACGAGCATATACCAGGGTGAATGAAGGGATGATTAAATACAAAGGAGCCAGTTGCGCCATCTACGTTCACTCGGTTGCCATTGCCCGGGCTTCGTTTTCCCCACAGGAAGGAATTTGGGTCTTACCTCACGGGGTGTAGCCTATTCAAGCTTGGAATCTCTGTCGCGAAAATATGGGCCAACGCTATACACATGCTGTTTGTTCCCCCTGCAAGGTAAAGCTATGCTCCAAAGTTAAGCTCGCATTTGCCAGAAGCACCCGAGATCTGGTTCCTGCTTTGGTTCACTATGATTGGTTCTGAATTCAGGTCGCCCTGAGTTGGTTCTGATTGGTGGGGTTGAATCCCGGGTTCAGCCCTTTGCTTTGCTCGTGTCCAACCAGATGTCTCGACCAGATCAAGTTCACCTTTGGAGTGAACCCTTGAGGAAGGAAATTTAGGGCATGTGCAGTAAACTGATTCGGTGGCTGGAGAAAGGCCCTTTGAGTTTGGCGCCGGTCAGGCCATCATTGGATGGGACCCATCGTCCATTCCTCAGATCTATTGGAGTCCGTTCGCAGCAACACCGAGTGTCACCGAGTGTTTCTGCCAGATTTGAATCGGATGTTTCAACGACGCCCACAATGTTGCTCCGGATAAATCAACCTGCAAGATTCTCAGCGGGGGGTCTCCCCCTTTATTTGTCCAGGGCCAACGTGGAATTTCTATTTGCTGCCATTGGAGTAGAAGCAGATTGCACGGAAGTGGCTGCTTTTGCCAACGGTCCTTACATGTCCCTTTTTTGAGGATTCAAGAATTCCCTGTTTGGCAATGTTAAGACTACTCCCCTTTTGGTGGGGGCTTGTTCAAAGGGGACATATAAGGAATCCGGCATCAACTCTCACAGTCCGTCGATTTTCCTTACGATGGCGGCAACCCCCGAGTGTGCTCGGGTCGACGCCATGGCTGTGGATGCCATGGACGGGCGCGGCAGCGCCGCGCTTTGCCAGAGGGCAAGGGCTTTCCTGCTGGCTTTGGAGCAGGCGCGCGGGTAGAAACAGATAGATTGGGAGAATGTAATTTAAGCGCCCGTGGCGAATCAGCTTTGACGGATTCTGAAGGCATGGGAAGTTTTGCAGGGATTTGCAGGTCAGCTTCTTGAAATTTACTCCAAGACAAAACTGGGCAGGCAACACGAGCAGTTTCATTGCGCTTCCGTCTGGAATGTGACTTGCAGTACCCCACCGTACTCTAGCTATAGTTAACTTTGGATAAACTTGGAGGATCTCATCCATAGAAACCCAGCTACAATGAATTTGTCACGACTACCAGGGCATTTATTCCGGATTAGCATCTTGGCTGGTATTTGGTGGTTGGATCTTCAATGTTTAGAAAAGATGTGAATGTTCCGATTCATCAGCGAAAGTTGTATACACCGAGCCATTTACAAGCCTTGCAAACCCCATTCAATTCGGACAAGTGCTTGGTGGTCGTTCGTACAACCGAGTTTGGCCCTGGTTTCATTCACGTTGAAGGCATGCTATTCCGTGCTTATCTCGTATAAGGATTGGTCGCCTTTTGGCAAAAAGAGTGGCGCTGGTGCTCGCTTAAATGAACCCGCAAAATGCAGACTTTGAGATGTTTCCAGGCGGCCTAATTGACGCTTTAACCACTCACGGCGATAGGCCACAAGACCCATTGAATCTCTTGGAAGTCACCCAGCAGTTGTAGCTGTGTACCGCAAAGCTCTGCGCTGGACAGCCATTCGTTCACTGTGCAAGATGCAGTTGTTTTTTCTTCTGCCATCGCCCGCGGCGGCGTCAGCTCAGAAATAGTCTTGTGTTCTTGCCGGGTGCATTGTTGCCCTGCACACAGCTTTGGGAGAGCGGGGCGCTGCCATTTTGTGGCGATGGAGGGAGGGGCCGTGTGTCCTCCGCCCATCCATCCGTCCGCCCGTCCGTCCGTCCGTCCGTCCGGCCGGCCGTCCGGCCATCCGTCCATCCATTAATTTATTTTGCGTATTGCACACGTGCAGAACCCTCCAAATCATCAGTTTTGCTGTCCTCCTGCTGAGCTCCGGGCTATCAATTGCACTTTTGGGTTTGAAGATTCAAAGTGCTGCGGCCTGCGCCCGGCGCAGGGACCAACCAAAATTAAAGCGCTTGACTTCAAAACTTTTTTTCTTTTTGTTTTTCTTCTGTGCACAGCTTGAAGGAGCTTTGGTTTTGGGGCCTTGGGAGTGCTGATCTCTAAGTGCAGGGGCAAGAACTGCGCTGAGAGACGTCAGCATTGTGTCCTTGCGCGCGTAAGCATGGTTGTTGTTGGGACACATTTCACATTTTGCTTATTGTGGTTTTTAGTGATTGAAATCCAACCACTGAACTGCTAAGCTATAATGTTGACCCATGATTAATAAACCCGTCCCATTTTTAGGGGGGTGTTCCCTCCAAAAGTGGTCTGAATCCAACCACGAAAAGGGGACACCCCCCGATGAAGATCAACCGGGGTTCTGCTTAATCCGGGGTTAGCATGGGTATGGGTCAAAATTAAACCACCAAGAATTGGACTGCAGGTTTTGGTCCATGTTTCCACTTACCAGGGCAAGCCATTTGGGGTACCGATTTTTGATCCACAGCCACATTAACCCAACAGCAGTGAGGAAGCCGCGCAGCTCGGGCCGCCTCCGACGCCCCTGGTGGTGAAGCGGCTGAAGCTGATGACCTTGGCGATGCTGATGGGCTTGATTGCCGCTCGCCTTTGGTTCGACTCCCAAAGTTGCATGTTTTTGTTTTGTTTTTTTCCCCATGGGGGCGAAACTGCCCATGCTGACTGAATTGTCTAGAGCGCCCTTCACAATGGAACGTGAAAAACCGAGAACTCGAGAATCGAGACTCCGAGAATCCGAGAATCTGAGAATCGGTTTGGGCAGGTCAGCCATAGTCAGGTTCGGTCTGTAAAGTGTCCCACAAGAATGTGCCGGTATTGGTTTTGTTTCTCTAGACCCTGTGTTAGGCATCCGTTGATGACTTTTGCTTTTGCTTCGTCTCCCCAAAAAGGGTCTGATTCCCTTATGAGATGAATCTATTTGTGCCACGCCCCACTTCAGATCGACATGGAACTCGAGAAATCCCTCCCTGCTCATTTGCAGAGTATTCCGACTGAGGCGCGGTGCCCTGCTCCCTCGGTTGCCCTTTTGGCCAAAGACGCGCTGGAGGACATGCGTCTGCTCTGAGCGGGGCTCTCCGCAATGCCGCGTGTGAGGGGTACGTTCATTGGGCTTTGAGCCGTGTTGATTGAGATTTGTTTCACACACCTTCATTCGGGAAACGCCGGAAGCCCCAGTTTCAGAAGTCACCTCCCGTTTCTTCACCCTAACTTGGGATCTCGGTTGATATTTTACAGCAGGTTTTTTCCAAATATATTTCCTGTTCCGGGAAAAAAAGAAAACAACAACAACAACAGATGGTGAGTTGTCAATTCCCGGTGGGCTTAGTCCTCTCCTTTACTTACGCAAGGTGTGTCATCTATTTTCACCCTGACCGATCTCTGAACATTTCAACGTGAAATTGGGATCTCTGATCAGAACCCCCGAGCTCTGACCCAACTTGGTTCGGCCTACGGGAGCAGTCGTTCGTTCACGCACGCACGGTGAACGACTGTCTCACTCTGTCAGCCTTGTGCGTCGTTACTGGTAGCCACTCCAACTTGCCATGTCAGCGCGTTGAATTACTTCGCGCGAAACGGTGAAATGAGCACCTGCAATCCTCGCGCTAGCCCTTGTAAACAACAAATCTGACGGACATGGGGCATGTGAGCAAGCTGCGCAGGCTGGCAGGGTCTACAGTTGGCCATAGGGTAAAGTGACAGACTTGTGACTGAAGGCCAAGACTTCTCGCTGGCAAGCTTGAACAGCGTTGCCCCTTGACACGACGCTCGCAGGCAAAGCGCGCAACTCTTGCAAGCGCAGCACGAACACAATGCAGCACACCACGAAACGCTTGAAATTTACTGATATGGGTGTGCTTTTTCTAGCAGGCAACGGCTGCGCAGTCAAAAGAGAGCATTGACAGAAAGCAAGAGATGTGTTTTCCACAGTGCGCACACCACAGTGCGCAGGCCTAAAGTGCTGCAATGTCACAATCAATCGGTGCTTTCTGTTCAACATTGACAGACAATCAACATCAGGTACAATTTTTTTAAGCGTAATTTTGGGCTGTCGTGTGTGCGCGCGCATGACTCCATGCCTGCGCGTGCCTTTTTTGTGCCGTTGCCTGTGTCAAAATGGTCGCACTTCGGCTGCGTTAGGCTCCGATTCCAACGCAGCACATCGGCAGCACGCGCAGAATTCTGACATGGAAAACACACAAGCGTCTGAAATCTCCCAGGTCACACACCCACCGATACGGTGGCTTGATATATTCGAGTCCTATGAATCGAATTACCCCAATGTTGGAACGTTCTGCAGGGACCAGCGCCCAGTGGGCAAAGCAATTCAACTCCCATGCGTGCAAAGTGTGCCCCGGTCCCCACATTGAGAGCGCGCGGGAACTCCTCCTGTGA